CTTGGGGCTTAGCGCATGGTGTGTTTTGTGGTGAGGAAGACTACTCGGGGCTCTATAAGTAGTGTGACCATATTTACCAAAGTAAAATTGGGACACCTCTCAGGGCTGGCCTGAGCTGTCTTGGCATCACCGCTCGCCTGAGCCCCCCCTCCCATCCTACTCAGGGCTATCCTGAGCCACCTGGTGTTGCTGCTTGCCCAAGCTCCATGCCACCCGGGACTGGGGCTGATTGCCTGAGCCTCGCACTGCCCTGGGCTGACTGCCCGAGCCTCGCCGCCCAGTGTCTCATGTCGCCACTGGCCTCCCTAAATGTTCCTCCATGCCCCCCCTAAAGGGGAACAGCATTTGTTCCATTTGTTCTTGTCAACTGATCAGAGCAACTTGCAACTGGTGAGACCAAATGGGACAAATGCCCATGTTTGCCAAAAAAGTCAGGACACGGTTTTAAAAAGGGACTGTCCTGCCCAAAACTGTATGTATGGTCACTTTATCTATAAGTCACATAGGTCTAAGGCTGGCTGTGGGCCTAGTGATGTACCTAGAGCTGGCTGAAACAGGAATTTTGGTTCATAAAAAATGTTGGTATTTTGCAATTTGCTTTTGTTCTGAATCGGGACAAAAGCCAATTGACTTGAAATTTCTTGTGAACTGAAGACCCTTGAAAATTTTGTTTTGGAAACAGTGAAACATGGTGTTCCCAAAAGGAAATCTTCGGGGACAGCCGGGAATCCGGGACTGGCAATGGAAATTTGCTTATGTTTTTACTAAAGTTTCATCCAATTTGTAATAGATTTGGCCAACAGTTTGTTTCAGCAAATCAGCACTTTTGGAAAAAAACATTGTTTTCTTGGGAAATTTCTGACCAACTCTAATTATATCACTATATATAAATCCGGCTGGCCACTTGACCCTAGGGATTGACAGTGTAGGGGAATGTTTATTAGAATAATGTACCTCTGCTCTTCTCCCTCTTCAAATCCATTTCTTTTCTTTCCCCATTGCCACCTTTGCTTCTTTCCTAATACTCCTTTCCTTTCAGTCACTGAAATCCAGTGCTGCTGGCATTATTGGTAGAGGGACTTATGTGGGATCCAAAAATAGGCTTTTTTATTGTTCCTAATTATTTTCACTAATCTTGAGAAAATAATACTGGTCCTGCCAGTGCAATATCAGCTCAAAATGTAGCCCTCCTTCCTTCAGGTCTTTGCTTTGTTTAAGGATATTTGGCTAGAGTTTAAGCCTTCCCTAGAGAATGATGAAGTTGCAGGCAGCCAACTTCACTTGGGTAGTCACAAAATCGGTCAGAGAAGCATGGAAATGGTGTCTAAGGGTTCCTGGGGAAGAAGAGAGGTGTATGTGTCTGTGGCCTCCCACTGACCTTGTGTATGCGGTAGTGAAGTGGGCTCAGCTGCTCGCTTGTTTGTTCCATGCTTGAGCTTGCAAGACCGACAAAGGCTGCTTGATAGCAGCCTAGTTAGGGAGCTAATTTGAGCAATAATCTGTTTCAGTGCCCCCGACATAATGCCCCATAGTCTGACTGCAGTAATGGTTGTTTCTCCCCAATTATATAAAATGTGAGGAAGCTCCTGCTGCTATTGTTTCTCTGACACTGAAATTAGGTTCTCCCGAGGCTTTGTCTTTTGTTTTTACTGAGCAACAGGGCCGCTTTTTCCATTTCTTGTGTGGATGTTACTGAAACACTCCAGTAAAGAGATATTGCCTTTTGAGCTGTTACTTTAGGCTCTAGCCCTGCCTCAGGTGATTCTTGCTCCTAGTGAGTTATAGAGGAGAGGTGGTGTTGAGAGAGAATCTCTCTTGTGCATTAATTCAAATCCCTGTTACAAACACTAGCATTTTCTCCTCTGGTCTGTTTTCCCTTATTTTTAGTTTTTGAAGAAACCTCATTTTCCAACAACCAAACCCTACTGTACATTGTCCTACCACAGCCTTCAATGCCACACTCTCTTCTTTTTTCTCCCTTAAAAGTAACACAATAACTTTTTGATTTGTTTAGTTTTGCAAGCAGAAAAAATGAACGCTACATGAAAAATATTTATCCATAAATAGGATGAGTGTATTCAATCTCGGTTTGCGTGTGTGTGTGTTATATATATATATATAAAATCAACAAACAAAGATCCCTGGTTATTGAAAGTACACCTCTACCCCGATATAACGCTGTCCTCGGGAGCCAAAAAATTTTACTGCGTTATAGGTGAAACCGCGTTATATCAAACTTGCTTTGATCCGCCGGAGCGCGCAGTCCCGCCCACCCAGAGCACTGCTTTACTGTGTTATATCTGAATTCATGTTATATCAGGTCGCGTTATATCGGGGTAGAGGTGTATATGGTATTCTAAAAGCATCGTGTCCTGCAAATGTAGTCCCTCAGATGTAGTCCCATTGTATCCAGTGCTGGTGAAAGGCATTGGTTTGATAGTCTTAAGGACTGAAGTCCTCTTTGCCTTGTCAGCAGGCCTCAACCTGGATCTGGGAGGTGGGAGAAACTTTTGCTAGGGATAACAGGTGGTTCAGTTTCTGTGGCGTATGCAATTCTTGCTTTCTCTTCTGAGTCTGCCAGTTAGTAAAAAGAGAGTCATGATGTAGGAAGTTGAAACTCAAACCCACTAAACTTGCACCATAGAGGGGCCGCCAAACATCCATTAGATGGGAACAACTTCTGATCCCTACTAAGCTGAGCTGGTCTCAGAATGGTGATGCAAGTGAAAAAGCTTTGTAGCCTTTGGGGACAATGAATGGTGAGGTTATTAAATAAAGTTCTGACCTTCTGGAGTTTATGCATTCTCTGGGGACAAAGGCAAAATAGTTCTTATGCTGCTCTCTGTCTCCTCCTAACATACACTACCATCTCAGTTCAGCCCCATTGTATGTTTGCATTGGGATATGGTTTTTCCTCCCTGCATAGGTGGTCAGCCAGGACCGTCAGATCCACAGCCAAGATATTTTACAAGTGAGCTAAAAGAACAACCGGCAGTAGAGTAGGATGTTGTCCAATTTCTGAACAGGGCCCTAGAACTGTACATGTCAAACAGCATGTCATACAATATGAGAGACAGTTGTGAATGTTGGCTGTTGGGATTCATGGGTTCTTTTCCAGGCTCTGATGCAGGGCATGGTGTAGTGGTTGGACTAATGCTTACAAACAGTATACCCAAGCACATAGACTTGTCACTTTGAGCCTGAAAGGCAGTTTGGCTGAGATTTGCCTGTCATAGTCGAGGTGTGTTTTGTTCCCAATTCTGGCTACTGTGGTTGTGTAAAACTCATGTTATGTTGTAAAAGAGGGTGATTGATAGTTGTCTGCTTTCTGGGATGGGGAATACAGGGGACTCGCATCTTACGTGGGGGTTAGGTTCTAAAGTCAGCGCGTAAGGCGAAAATCGTGTATAGTCAAAATTACCCTTGAAAAATCCTTTAAATCGCCCATAAAGTACAGTATACTGTACATGGTTTTGTGTATACAACCCTGTACAGTAATACTGTACATATAAATGTATAATGTATACAGTAATGTACAGTATATAATAAAGGGTACATATGCAAAATATAATTTTACAGTATTTTTAATTACATAAAAGAGAGAGAGATGGAAGAATGAAAGAATAAAAAAGGAAAACAGTAAATCTAACCACTCCATTCATCCTGGAGATTCTTGCTAGTCTACGACGACGATGATAATGGTGATACGATGACTATGACAATGGTGATGTGATGACGATGATTAGTACAGCGCCCGTATGTTGAACGATAAGACGATGAAGATGGGTGCTGTACACAATCCGATGATTAGTCTTCCTCTTCCCCTGATAACACTATTGGAGGAGTCATCAGGGCTTTATGTCGAGCCAGGAGATGGAGGTGACGGAGAGCGAGTCGTAGGTGAAGTGGTTGGCTCTGGTTCAGCTCGAGAAATTGATTGCGTAGGCTCATCTGCAACTGATCAGCAACTGTTGCTGTTGTCTCTTGAGCTGCTCAAACATTTCTTGATATGGTCTCAAATCGTCTGTAATACTACGTGTGATTTTGAGGCTTTGTCCATAGAGGGATCGTATCCAGAAATTAAATCATTCAAGTGTTTTGCTGCTTGGAACACTTCAGCAAATTTACCTTTTAGGGCACGGGGATTTGCAGCCCTGTAGCGCAAGCCCGGCTTTATTAAATACCCAGCCACATTGCCACAAAACAACACAGTCACACGCTCTTTAGCTGCTTTGAAGCCAGGGGCTTGTCTTTCTGATTTCGAAGTGTAAGTGCAGTTGGGCATTTTTTTTCCAGAAGAGCCCAGTCTCAACAGCATTAAAAACTTGTTCCGGAATATAGCCCTTTTCTTCTATGATTTTCTTTAATTGTTCGGGGTAGGCTTTTGCTGCCTCTTCATTGGCAGATGCAGCTTCACCAGTAGTCTGCACGTTTTTGAAGTTGAAGCAGTTCCTAAAATTGTTAAGCCAACCTTGCCTGGCTTTGAATTCCTTCTCATCAGAAGGCTGTCCCTCTTCGGGGGGAGGCTTGAACAGCACGTAGAGGAGAAGAGCCTTTTCTCACAATGTGTTGCCATCGATAGGCACACGTTTACGGTTCATGTCTTCCAGCTCTAAGTTTAATGCCTTTTCAGTCTTCACTAAAGCGCTCTGGCCGCCGGGGAGAGCGGAGAGCCCCGGCCGGGCTCTCTGTCCTCCTCCCAGCGCTCTGGTCTCCGGGGGCTCTCCGCCCTCCCCCCAGCGCTCTGGCCGCCGGGGAGAGTGGAGAGCCTCGTCCGGGCTCTCTGTCCTCCTCCCGGCGCTCTGGCCACCGGGGAGAGCGGAGAGCCCCAGCCGGGCTCTCTGTCCTCCTCCCGGCGCTCTGGCCGCCGGGGGCTCTCCGCCGTCCCCCGGCGCTCTGGCCACCGGGGAGAGCGGAGAGCCCCGGCCGGGCTCTCCGCCCTGCTCCCGGCGCTCCGGCCGGTCGGGGATTGCGGGCCCACGGCCGGGCTCGGTGCCCTCCCCTGCCGTGCTGGGGGGCAGCAGGTGGCGTTTTTGCCTAGGGCCGCAAAAAAGCCAGAGCCAGCCCTGGTGGTACCAAGGGGAGCAGCCAGCTCTCTGACCCACAAGCCGGGTGCCTTGGCCTGGGCGTGTCTCCGCCGGCGGTGCAGCGAGAGCCCCCCGCCCCCGTGTCGGGGCTGGGCAGCCCGCGCCGCGCGTGGCGGCGAAGGCGGGGGGATGCGGGGCTCTCGCTAGCGCTGCCTGTGGTCACAGCCCGGCGCGCTCGCCTCCCATCCGGCTCCGACTCGCGCTCTCCCCGCTGCAGCCGCCGCCGCCGACCATAGAGTCGCGCTGCAAACAGAAGATAGAGGGAGTGCAGGAGCTCGCCATCTCCAAGCCATCTACAGCGGGAAAAACATGGAGTCCGCTCCGGCAGCCCCCGATCCAGCCGCCACCGAGCCGGGCAGCAGCGTCACCGAGCCGGCTGCCGGCGCCAGGGACACCCCGGTCAACCTGGAGCCTGCCCGGAAAAGCGAAGCGCCGGCTCCAGTCCGCAGGCAGAGCTACTCCAGCGGCAGCGGCAGCAGAGGTAGGGAGACTTGGGGAAGGGGGAGCGCTGGGATAGGGAGGGTGGGAATAGAGAGAGGGGGGTAGGAGAGAAGGGCGAATGCAGCAATTAAACCACCGGGGATAAACCAGGGGATTTATTGGGAACTGGGCACAAAAAAGCAACTCCCCACTCCATGCAATCTGGCAAACTTTTACAGCTCCTTTTAATTGCTGAGGGAGGAGGGACAGACCGGAGGGAAAATATTGAGAGAGAGAGAGAGAGAGAGGGCTGCTCGGTGCTTTCCCGTTTCCCCGTTTATCGCCTGCAAAACTCAGATGGGAACTATGCCCCTGAAATTACATAATTAAAACACAAAACAACCCCCCAGCAGGATCATTAGAATTCAAGAAAACAAACTTTTAAAGCTGCAGTGTCCTTCTCCCCCACCCTTTCCTTTTCTCCCTGCTTTTGACAGTTTCGTCTCTGATGTGCTGAGGTTTGTTGTTGGAATGGGGGAGTTTTATGTGATCTCGCTGATTAACTAGGAGGTTGCCGATCTGCGATTTACTGCTCCACTCTTTCGCATGCTGTGTTTTTTTAATTTGTTTCTTCGGTGTGTTAAAAAAAAAATCCCTCCCAAAAGTTGATGCTCTCCTGGCGTTTCTTGAAGGTGCACAACTTTGCAGAGAAGGCTCTTCCTGATCTCATGGATTTTCCTCCCCTCCACCCCCAGTCACAAGATATTGCAAACAAATTTTAAAAAGCCTTTAATTGCTGGTTTGATGATGACCTAAGCATTCTCATGATACCAACCGCATGTTTAATAGTACGGGCAGCGAGAAACGTGTGCTGGCCAGTTTAAGTTCGGCATTGTTTATAGCATTACCTGTCCACTTTTACTGAAAGTAACTGTCTTTCGACAGCATTGTACGCTAACTGTTCGCTACTGTAGAGGGAGGGAGAGACCCGCTGCCCCCCTTTCTCCATTGCACAGGAGCGGTTAAAGTCGATGGGTTTTAAATATATTTAGGGTTGGGGGGGGGGGGAAGCGAGAGGGACAAAAATGCCGCTTTAATTCCCGCTGTCAATAATTTATAAATCGCTGCTATCATCCAGGGGGAACTGACTCGGTAGGATCGTTGAGTGATCGGTGGAAACTAAATAAAAATACATATACTGATCTGTTAAAGAACTGACAGCCAGGCTGGCGCACACAGTCCTCGCATGGCTCCGGGGTCCTGTGCCAGCTGCCGGCTGATCGCAGGGAGTCGGGGAACGTTTTCAGGTGGTGCGGGGAAAAACCCGATTCCTCCCGGAGTGTGTGATTTTTGTTGTTGTTGTTTGGAATATGGCTGATCATGTGTTGGCTTGTGTTTTACAGTATTTTTCCCATTTTGGCCACGCCCCCCTTTCCAGGCAGCTTCCCACTCAGGGAATCCGAGTACAGTAAAAGCCAGCAAGATGACACACGCTGAAACATTTAATTAGAGGCAATTTCCGAATAATGACCGCGCAGTTATGCAAATGCACGGGGGAGGGGGGTGGCGAGGAAGAGCTGGCTCTGGAGAAGACGGGAAGATGGGGAAGGTTTTTGTGTGCAGAAAGCATTTGGCTGCAAAGAATATATTTAGAGCTTGAGACAGTGGATTTGGAATGCAAGCCGGTTATGTAACAAGGTTAATCAGAACCACTAGAGAAAATTTCCTTAATAATGTTAAGGAGTTTTCTGAATGTTTTCAAAGCGGCCGTAGTTTGTGGTTGTTACACAACCTCCCCCTCCTCAGTTGCTTCAATTTGCTTTAATTGTCATTGCTGGCATATGATGACTTTTACGGGTGGGAGGGGTGGGGAGAGAGGGATGGCAACCTTCAGATTAGTCTTGCGATGTTGTAACTTTTAGACCATAAATTATGTAATGGACTACTGGTAAGGTATGTATGTATCCAAAGGGGAGACGGCAATATTTCTGATGATGAGGGTGATCCGCTTGTGATTCTGAATCGTTTAGGCTTTGCTACCGCTAACCTGCTGACCCATATGTCCCTCCTCCCCCTTGTGTAGCATTAAATAAGGGGGGGGGGGTTAAACACACACACACTGCACGCAAGCACTAGGTTATGTAACAATCTGAATGAAAAAAACGAAGGTCAGTGATGGAGGCATCCATGCAGCAATGCAATACCAAAAGCCCCTGGAAATTGTCTTCAGAGTCTTTAATATCTAAGAGAATGTATGCTTTTTAGGGACAATAATTGTTTGTGCCTTGGATGGGGTGTGGGTATGGATAGGAATGATTTAAAGAAGGAAACTGTTTTGGGTTTAGGGATGGTGTAATGGAGTTGGTAGGAAATACAAATCTGCTCCTAGATTGCAAACAGTAAGAAAATTGGAGCTTGCATTCAGGATTAATGTTGCATAAATTACAGTATTGAAAATAATTTGACCTATACACTAGGTGATTATGCCTTTCTAATATTTAAAAGGTGAAGGTCTGTAACTTTGCAAGAAAATACCAGAGAATTGTAATTAACGTTTTTAGCCTGTTTGAAAGCAGGATGCAGATGGAGACATTGGGTGAAATTGAGGCACCCGACTTGTGATTTATTTATTTATTTATTTAAAGATTCCTGAGGCTGGTTTAATGCTTATTTCATATAAAGGGAAAATATATTATATGGAAATCTTCTTGACATTGGGATGACCTCGCAGTGCATGAATAGCACATGTATGCGTATAGGTAAAAAGAATAGCCCTGTAACACAGGTTAATTCCAAATCATGTGTTCGTGTACATGTTCAGCACATCAACTAATCTCTTAGGTTGTTATCCTGCAATGTGCTCCATGCAGGCAGATCCAGACACACATGCAGGTCAGTTTGCAGAATTGGTACCCAGAAAAGCATTCCTTAATTTTTAAATCAATAAAGTTAAAAGACACTGGAAATATTTCTTCTGTATCATCTATTTTAGAAGCTGCTACTGTTGTAAACCTGTACTCAGGGCTGTGCAGCTAAACTAGCTGTTCTTAACAGGGAATTTGAGAAAAGAAAGAATTGAAGAAAAGGGTAGTCGATGAGACTCGGGGAAAAAAAAGATGGTGAGAGGTTAGATTCTTAACTGCAGCTTTAATTACTGTAACATTTGAAATACTGTATCTCTTGATACCACTTATATATCTGGCGTGTCAGAACCCTAAATAGCTTTATTTTATTTTTACTTTTGCTAATGGGTGGGTATTTTTACTTTTGTTCTAACGGGTTGGTGTTTATTATAACAATTAATTCTTGTGCTTTTAGATATCAAAAGCATTTGCAAAGCAAGTAGTCTTATAAAAGTGTGCGTGTGTGACTGAGAGAGAGATCACCTGTGGACTGATGGTATTGAGTAATGTTATTGAGTAGTGTGGAAGAATAATGACACAGTAGGTTGAAAAAAGTGACCAACAGTCAGATAAAAAGCCTGGTATTTCCAAGTAAAGATGTTGTTGTCACCTCCTCTAGTTGTTTATTTTAACCTAAGGGCAGTAGATTTCCAGTTTTTCATTAGGTTAAACCCTAATCCATACATGTTTGTACAGATGTTCTCAGATGTCTTCATACATGCACTGACTTCATTGACTACTTTGCACACCCTAGTCACAATTGTATATACCACTTCCGCTTTCATCTGCAGTCATAGAATATTCCTAAGGCAACTACAGCTGTTGCTTACATGTAAAGTAATATTAGGAGAGTATTTTTATATATATATAATATATAAATTATTGAGCATCTGGAAACAAAGAGAAGCCAGAATCATGTGACCAGCCAGCTGTTTGTGGATCATCAGGAAGTGCTCCACACACCACAGTCTAAGATTCTCAGTGTTATTACCTCCTTCTAAAAATGAACGTATTTGAAAACAATGATAACAAATGTTGGACTGGGCTCTCTGTTATCCCATCAAAGCTTAAATGTTGCGTTTTCATTTTTTAAATCTGAAATATCAGTTGTCCTAATTTCAGGAGCCAAGTTCTTGTTCTCTAGGCTTTTTTCTCACCTTTTGTCATCTATAATATGTCAATCAATTGCAGTAGTTTTCCAAGGGCTGCCGAGGGGCTTGTGTTATACTGTCCTGAAGTTTCTCCCCTGTCTGTCAATCAGACCTAGGACTAGAAAGCAAAATATTATTTTTTCTTTTCTGGGCTGTTACTCTGTTTTTTTTTTTTGCAGTGTCAGTAAGTGGAGGGTGGGAGGGAAAGAAGTTTCCCCTCTGTTGAGAGAAGAGACAGAAATTGTTTAGTAAAATTTCCTATTCATGTCCCCCAATGCATTTTTCAGGTATCTTGTTAGGAAAGTTGAACATTTTAAAGGCAGCATTCATGTTGTTGGAAGACATTGTATTAAATGTTTTGTAGTGGTGATTGCCGTACTTCTTTGAACAGAAAGCTATACGCACATAGGAGGCAGTTTCCTGAACCCTTACTGATGAATATTGAGTGTCTGCTTGCATTTCCCAATCCCTTGTTGGGACTTGGGTTTTTGTTATCACCACTTGAGACTAATGATATCCTGATTTTTACTGTATTTAATTTTTTGCACTGTGCTGTGCGTAATTTGATTATAACATCAATGAATAGTGGCATCAGCCCTTTATTTCACAGCTCCATCTGCAGTTGCACACTTAGCAAATATTTCAGATGTTCTAAACAGAATATTTGTGATGTAACAAAATTTGTCAGTTTAGTGCGTGATCTTTGCATTTTCAAGTTTTGAGTATTCTCTTTAAATTTTCAGAACACTTTTCTCACACCGAGTGCTGTTTTGGAAGCACTGCTTCTGATTTAGGACTATAGATTTGCCTGTTGAGTAAATGAGATGTACTATGAAGCATCTGAAAGAAAACCCCAATCATTTAGTTTTAAACCTTTGTAGCATAAGAGCAATAATACCACTTTTGCATTATTTTCTCAGGAACAGTCCTGTTCCCTTGTTGCAATAAAACCATAACTTAGTCTTTTATTTTATTGACTTGAAAAGTATCTCAGTGGCTCGTAAACC